TGACCACGCCGCAATCCCTTCTCCTCCATTCTCCTCTCGGGATCTTGGGCACGCATGCACATGTGCCCGGTGTGAGTTTAAGCCACTGGGTCCAGGACTCGAACCGCAGTCGACTACATGGGAGTCCAGCAACATAGCCATTACGCTAACTGCTGGTCCCATAATGTTCTAATTTCTACTTATAATTAAAGAATAAGCTTAAATTTTACTTTACATCTCCACTAATGTGTTTTAATTTCTGTATCTCTCCAAGTAAGTTTTAAGCTCCTTAACAGTGTGGACTACATGTTAAAAAAATTTTTTTTTTCTTAGTATCCTTCTCATGTTCCAAAATTTGCAATTTAGTACAAGTTATATAACTTGGCATATAGTTCAATAATACATGTTGAAAGGATCACATGGATTATGATAGACCAGTATAATCCTTTTCCACTGAAAATGTACCGAGGAACCGAGAGCTGGGACCAGGGCCCACACAGAGTTCAAATAATTATTCCATTCTTCTTGACTAGGAAAATGTATATCTTCCATGCTTCATCCATCGAGGTTCAACTGAGATGCCAAGTTTTTAAAGCAGAATCTCTTGATATATCCTAGCCCAAACTAATGTGTTTATAACAACCCAACTAGATTATATTCTTTATCAAATAACAAACTAAATTCTGATTTGACCTTTTTGCCTTGACAACATCTATAATAAAGCTTTGCATATAACAGGTATTTAAACAACTTTCCCTAAGAGTTAGTAATATGGTAATGGTTTCTAAATGTTGCTTGTCTTTGTGTGCCTCACCATCCCTTGTTTTTGTTTTATGTTTTTTGTTTTTCTCTTTTACCCTGGATTTAACTCTGTAAGTATCCTTTCATTAAAGTCTGTTAATTTGAACTGATGTGGGTAAATTCTCTTTCCTTCCAGAACCCTAATTGCTTCAAAGTTCGTATTTCAGCCTAGACTTTTGAGAATCCCATCTTGTATATATTCTAAAAACTTTAACTCTTAATGTTCCCATAAAAAGATAAAAATTCATTTTATTTTAATGAATAAAGTAAAGCAGAGATTCACTAAAGAAATTTTAATGTTCCCAAATGAATACTGAAAACACTCACCAACTTGCTAAAATTAGTAGTTGATAGAGCATGTTTATGATTCTTAAGATCCAGAAGAGACAGAGAGGAGGTTGAAATAAGGGGTAATTATGTTTCTTAAGCATGTTTTGGGTAAAAAGGTAAAATCCAAAACTCCTGCAAGGCTTAAGCAAACTCACCATCATCATTTCTGAATTCACTTCAGTTGGAACTGATGAGAGCAAGTCAAGGATGTTAATAATGGCTCCCAGACTCCCAGGAGAAGAGCTGATTTCATTAGCCACCTTGCCTGTGCTAACAGAAAGGTTCTTCAGGTATGTAGGAAGCTTCTCATCCTGACAAGGACTCTGGATCAAAGCCTAGTAAAACAGAAGCCCAGATAAACAAACAAAAACCTATCAGTCAGTGTGGCCACCAAGTCCTGCTAATTCAAGCATGACAAAGTCTCTTACAGCTGTACTTTCCTTTTTTCACCATTCCCATTAAGTATATCCCATAAGATAATGTACTTATCTTTTAAACTACCTGTGTATGCTCATCAGAAGAGAATATGACATAAGACCTCACACACAGAAGAGGGGTAGTGAAATAGATGTCAACCTGATAACTTACTGGAAAGAAGGGAACACAAACGTAACTGCTAGACAACTAGATTAAAGCTGATTAGAACCGGTTTTGGACAGTCTGCTTGGAAGCATGTTTGCTGCTCTTGGCATTTTCTGACATCACTGGCCTGTTGATCTGTCCATTTCAATTTTCCTGGGAAATTTATGACTTATATTTCCTATCCTAGTGTAATTATTAAGAATGCCCCCTTTTGGGACCAACAGTTAGTGTAATGTCTATGTCACTGAACTCCTCTCCAAAAAATGAAAAGAAAAAAAAAAAAGAAAAAGAAAAAGAAATTAGAACATTAGAAAACAGAAAGATAAGACCATATAATCTATCATCCAAATCTAGATACTTTTTGAGATTAAAAGAGGGCATTCTTTTTTTTTTTTTTTTTAAAGATATTTGCAACACCGCACTTATACCCCCTCT